GGACCACCAAGCCTGGAAAAAAGGAAGAAAGAGGTACAAGTCCTGACCTCTTCCCTGTCTTCTCCCATGCAAAGCCAAACATGTTTCAAGATTCCAGTTCTGGGAGCATGCAGTTGTGGGAGTCTGGGTAGACTTTCTGCAAGAACATAGCATTTTCCTATTTGTTTAGGGGTGCACTTGAATTTCACAAAATTAGGCAAGCATTTTCTGTTTTAAGATTAATAAAGACTAATTTTTGAATCTCTACTTGAGAATATTGGGAGAAGTTCTCAGAATGCTGGGAAGGGATACCAGGGCAGTGATAGGGTGAGAATATGTATTATTTTTCACTTGTTGGAAAAGATGGCTATGTATATGTTATTCTGTCTTTAAAATCACTTGATGAACTCATATATGTATGTTGTTGTTTAAACACAATTAGGACAAAAATTCCAATCTAAAAAGTTGAGGTTATTGAAGGTAAAGGTTTTTAAGTAGCTTCTAACCTTCGTCTACAATTTCCATCCTCTTGCAAAAAAGAATTTCCATATTGGTTTGTATCATTCTTGCTGGTAGATAAGGGGACAAAACAGCCATTGGCAAAGGTGGGGACACTGAAAAGAAAACAACAGATGCGGAACTTCCTCGAACAGATGCCCAAGGATAATCATGATGACATCTTCTGTGCAACTCCTTTTCAGAATAAGAACACAAAAGTAAATATCACAACTGTTGTATATTTTAGAATATTTCTAGCTGGGCTCCATCAGACAGGGCTTACTAGGAATGCTAGAAAAGCTCATTACAAGCTGGAAAGTTGTTGTCCTTTTTCTGGGCTTGGAAGTTGGGAAGTAGATTCATTCTTGATTTTGTCCTGGTCTTCAGAAATAAGTTTGTAGGAATCATGGCTTACAGCTGGACCTTGAGATCAGTCCAAAATGTATATATCCCTGCAACAGATATTCCCCAAAATTTCTGGCATCCAATGGGATTCTAGCTGTTGCAGAGAGTTGTAAACACTGTTAGTTGTGAGGAGCTCGTAGAAGTACAAAAAAAAAGAAAATACAGAAGAATTACACACCCACTGGATTGTACTTTGCTTTTGTAAGTGCTATTTATACATGAACCATTCTCTAGAATTCTGCCTATCTATAGCAACAAACCCCCACTCTGGTCCTTATCCTTGAGAATTTTTTTCAACTTATACTGTAGACTGTTATTAAACTAGCCTCTGTCTTTTCTATTTGCCTATTTTTACTTGACTTTTTATCTGCTTCTGGGCCTTTTCCCCTTAAAGATCTTCACAGCCTGGATTCTCTCACACTTCCCTTCCCATATAACTCTTCCTGTCAGTAAGGCCCACTTCAGGTATTAAAACTATGTTTCTTTCATATAAATAACTGTAACAATTCTATCACCACCTTGATTATGGATAATTTGTAATAATTGCATCAGCTTAACTAATCAGTGAAAAAGTACAACAGAATGTAGGTGACATGAGAAAGATGCTCTTGGTTGGGGATAGTATTGTGGTAAACTTACAGCAAACACCTTCTTTTTCTGGGGATAACAAAGATATGATCTGTAGTTGCCACAGTTCTGCGTGGCCCCAGAGGAAGATGTTTTCCAGTTGAAAGACAGTCATCCTATCACACCTGCTTCAGCTATTTTTCCTTTGGTGAAGACTCCCCAGTGTGACCATGTTAGCCCTGGCATGCTGGAATCCCTGGATAGGTACGTACTCTGGATAGATTCTACTCATTATTTTAAATAGCAAAAGTAACTCATTCTAGGTTCACTGAGGTCACTATTGGCAAATGTGTAAAATTCACACATAAATAAACTATTCTAACAAAAAAGGATTGGGGCAAACAACAGGGACATTGGGTTATGTGAGGACATTTGAGCATTCTGGAATATGCTGTTTTGGGATGGTGGACAAAAGTAGAAGAAAATATTGAAAATAAAAGGATATTAAGCAGCAGATTTTGGGGGGAAGGTAATAAGAATAAGCAACTGGATCTGTGACAGCCTCTCTGACAATAAGCAGAGTAGGCCTTGCTTCTTGATGCATTGGATAAGCAAGTGACACACATTCACATACACAAATTCTCCATTTAAATTATTTTTTATTTTAGGAAAGATCGTGAAAAACGTGTCTTTCACATGCAAAATAATATCAAAGGCAAGGAGCGCACATGGCAGAATGTAAAGAAGAAATCGGTAATGTTTTTCCTTTGTTTATCATATTTGAGGACAAATTAGATGTCTGTATCTTAACTTTTAAAAAGTAATTAGCGCATTTTTCTTTTCTCCCTGAGGGGCCCTAGAAGCTATTCATAGGGCCTGGTTACACTCTCAGTAAAAATATTTTTTTCTAAATAAATAAAAACAGTTATCAAATCCTCTTCAGAAGCAAACAGATTTATTAACAGCTAAGGAAGAAAAAGGAACCTGAAGGACAGAGAGACAGGAGGTCAGGACAAAGAGCCAACAAAGTTTCTTAATGAACCTCATCAGAGGACTTTTGTGGCTTTGCTTTGTGCTCCTGAGGTCTGTTGAACCACAAATACCTCTGTTTTCAAGGACAATTCATAAAACCATTTTCTAGTAACAACCTGTTGTTTTCTGTTTACTCACAGTCTTGAAAAAATGGTTCTTGGTGGTTACCTACTGACTGACAAACCTAATCTAGAAACTTTAGCATCTCCTCCCTCTGCTTGCATATAGTATTTGGGAACTTGGCATGGCAAGATTACAGAGCTGCAGCCTGAAATGGCTATTCATGACTTTAAGATTTATCAAATTTAAACTGCAGCTTAGTGTCCTTGGCTGGCTAGTTAATTTTGACTACCTGCCGCAAAGTTTTTCTACAAGTTGCTTGTTTGGGGGGAATAATCGTTTCCCTTTGTTTCCATCAGGCTGGGACAGTGTTCACTACTCCCATGTCTCGAAGAACAAATGTCTTTAATTTTGAAGGTAGGCATGTTCCATCTGCCTTATACTACATTGTCAAGGTTTAGGATTGGACTTGGAGTCCCCAATATGGCACCATGGAGCATCAGTATGGCTGCAGCTGTGCCCTGAGTTTTTTAAAAAGAATTTTAAATAACATTGTAACAAAAAATAGAAATCTGGCACATTGCAAAGCAAACACTACATCATCAGTGCAGATCCTTTGTGAATGGGCGAGCATCTGACTGTCTATCAATCAATCAATCAATCAATCAATCGTCTATGTAATTTCTGTACCTGGCCATCTCAATCCAAATGACTCTGAGATTTGGAAAACTCTGGAATTTGCAAGAATACCTTAAATGTGTTCTCAAAATTCAAAATGTTTCCAACATTCCAAAAAGGTTGGGAGCCATGGGTTGGATGATCACAAGAGCTTTCTGATTATCATTGCCAGATGAAAGGAAAAGAGTTTTTTGGTGTTATGTATAGTAGCTTTCCCTTTTGAGAGGTTCCAAGAAAGTTCTATGCATGATATGAATATGGGGGTAGTATCAGATGAATGGCTGGAAGTAGGAGTCTACAAAGGAGGTCCTATGCTGCATATATGAGAGATGCTGCAGAATACAGTAGAGAATAGGGCAGGTTTCAGGATTTGGTAATTTGAAAGTATTTCCTTCTGCACCATTCATTTGCAAACCTTAACATGAAGCCAGGAGACAAAGGAGCTCCTGGGGTTTAATGACTGCATAGTGAAGCATTAGTTCTAGACTCAGACACCCAATTTTACTACTGCTATTTTCCTGAGTATATTTCCCAGGGTAGGAAATCTCAATTTTAAATGTAGATATTCAGTAATTGAAATCCATAATTATTAACACTTGACTGCCCTATACAAATTACAGAGGTAATCTGCTCTTGTGGACATTACAGTAATTTCTATATCATTGTTAAAAGGTAAATGAATTGAGCCTGACTCCTGGGACTGTGCATATGGTTTGCCATATTCTCCTTGTAAGTTGATTGGTTTGGGTGGGTTTTTTTTTTCTTCCCAGTCTAGCCTTCAATCCTGGGATTTCTTGGTCTGACCTTGCTTAGTTTTTGAGGATCAGCCAAATTCAGTTTAGGGTTTGCTGCCTGGTGTGACATAATATGATCCCTGACTGGTTAATTTAGATTCACTTCTGTCTCGTCAGTGTAGAATTTCTCCTCTCAGGATGAGTTGAGCCTTTCACATGTTGGCTATAAGATTCTGCTTGAGGATGGTATCACATGGGAGCACTTTGGATACTATCATCCTTGTAACCTGATTTTTTCTCATCTTATTATATAGACGTTGCAACTTCTGATGGGGTGGGACATCTCTTCCAAGTGGAACAAGGAATACAGTCTGATGAAGAGGATGATACGTATTTTTCCACATAGCCAGTAGCTACCTGCCCCAGGCTCAAACTCTGCCAACTCTTTGGGATATTTCATCTCACCTTCTCATAGCCACAGTAATTTCTCTAGATTGTTTTTAATGAATTGCAAATGGCTGAGTTTTGATTTCAGTCTGTTTTGGATTGAATTAAGTGGCTCCCCAGTTCTGTGCTCTCAAGGTATTCAAATGGAGAAATCTACCACAGGTCTGTCTTTAGAAGAAGTGATGTGGAGATTATGTAGACAAGTAGCTGTGGTGATTGCCTTTTTTAAAAATGGAAGTAAAATAATGTTTTTAAAAGTTACTTGTACGATAAACCTCAATAGCATTGTAATAGCAAAGGATCTCTATATTTTCTGTACAAAGAACAGTGCTTATATATTTTTGTATTAAACTTGTTTTCTTAGTACCTTTTAAATGTTTTTGATACCTTTTTAATTTGGCAATTACAAAGAAACTGGATACACAAAATACAATCACAAACATGTGCATTAGCCCACTATGTGGTTAGCTTATGTCTGGTATGCTGTGCGAACCAAGACAAGTGAATTAAATTAATCTGGGGTAATACATTTTGTAAACACAGCTACTCTGTCAATGTATAAGCTAGAAGTGACACTTGCTAAAAATTGAGAGAAGAGGAAAGTAATAGAACAACTATTCCAGACTTTCTATGAAAAGGAATAAGGCCTTCTGAAATTCTGCTGCCTCTTCTAGTGAGCAGATAGCATTCATTATACTTTTTTATAATATATTGATGATAAACTTACCAGCATCTGTATATATACTACAGTTGATTTTTTAAAACACCTTAAATGACTACTGTACAATTAACTTGGTCTGTGAACCACTGTGGGGAGGGAAGATAATGTAAGAATAATCAGTGTTCTTATTAATCAATCTTTTTCTCATGGTAGGCCTACCGAAAATAATTTTACTGTAAGTACAATATTTGTGAATGAACATTACTATTGGAAATCATTGCATATTTAATACCTCTGATTGGCTCTCATGCACCATAGGAACTATTTCAAGTGCTTAAATAGCTTTCTTACGTGGCAATCTGCAAAAGCTTTCAGTGATAATGTAGGGTGCTAATTATTGTACTATGACTACAGTTCTCTGCTGCAGAAATCAGAATGTCTACTAGATGACAGCAAAGGGACCCCAAACTCTGCTGTCATGTACTGGTTGTCTGGAATGTTTCAGTCTTGATCTTTTAGCCTTATGCTGTACTAGTCTCTTCCCCTACCAGGAAATACCTCTTGCATGAACTAGTGCTAGAATTATGAGAGAAAGTTGTGGTAGGATGAACTCTTCATCCCCCATAGTTTTGGGCACTGACATCAGCCAAATGTATTAAGCCAAGTTATAAATTTATTTGACTTTCTGCCTTACTATCCTCTTCAGTTCTGCAGCTATTCCCTCATCTAAATCTGTGTCATAAAACAGACTGTCCTACTGTACTTATGTGCCACTATGTCATCTAGTGGGAAGTTGTGGAATTTGCCCCTAGGCTATATTAACTGGATATGATTTGTAGTACAGCTGTCTTTTAGTGGCCCTTAGCTATCTGTGTGGTCTACCTGTTTAGCAAATTATGCTACAAATAAATATTTCCTGCATTTCAGGAAAAAAAAATATGGTACCAATATAGAACACTTCTCAACAAAATATACTGCTTGATAGCATAGTTTCTAAGATAGCTAGTTGCCACTGTTGCCTTTCGGCCTTTCACAGTAATGTGACAATTAAAGAAAAGTCAAATCTGATAGCTAACTTTAATGTATTTATTTGCTAGTTTTATATGACCACCCAATGTGCAAAAAGTGATTCTTGGCAACTTCTAATTGATAGGAACATTATGTATGTTTGAAAAAACAAAATGACAGGAAGGTAAAGCAGTATGGTAAGTTAGTCACTTAGTAGCTATCCTGTCATGAGAACTTTTGAAAATTTAATTGTTGGCTTGGCATTAGTACTCTTACAAATATCACATCTTGGTTAAGAATCGAAGCCATTAATTGACCTGCTTGATGCTGACTTAATCTTAGTGAAATGGTGAACTTTGGCACTTAAGACAAAGTTAAACTGCTATTGAAATTAAGCATTGGGGAGCAAAGCAAGAATAAGATAAATGTACTACCTGTTCCCAGTGCACAGAAGCCTTGTGCAGGGACTTGCTTTCCTATGTATGGAATAAATGATGTGGGAATTGGAACCTATGCATATCATTCCCACATCTCCATTGAACAGCTCCTTGAAAAGACCTTCACCATTCAGTGGGATGATCTGAAAATGGGAAGTAACAGCATTTGCATTTATCTTAACACAACTGAGATTGTCTTTTCAAGGTTTCTGACAGCAGATATGGCTCTAAGTGCGTGCATTTCAATATGCCTATTGTCCTCTGATTTTCACACTGAATGTTTAAGATCTTCTAAAGAACTCATTAAGAAATTAGTAACAGTGCATTCTTGCTCACACTGCCAATCCTACAGATGTATAATTTAAGAGCTTCAATGAAAAATAGTCCTTTATCACTTTTGGAGCAAGTTCTGGCTGAACTAGCAATATTTACTATTAGTAGCCATAATAGTTCAGTGACCAGGTAATTACAGATTGCTTCTAAGCATTTTTCACAGTAAAATCTCTCACTAATGTTTTCAAAAACCTAAGGGATAGAATAACACAAGTTAGCAGCTTTCTCTAAACCATGTAGCAGACCAGCTGCATGGCCCAATTAGTTTTTACTTATTGAGAAAATTGCTTGTGGTTTCCTAATTTCTTTGTTCTAGCTTTTCCATTCCTCCTAATGTTATCTTAATGAGAATTTCAATAAGTCACTTTGATAGCTCTTCACACACTCTGGAAAGAGAACTTGGGAGAAGCAATATGCAGAATATTAAGTCTGCAATGTAGTCCTCGAGAGGTCTGTACTGAGAACAAAAGATCCTTTGTGAGAGTTTTGTCCAAGCTCAGAACAAAAAACCAGGGACAAAATGTGACATTTTACATTGTTTCAGATATTCTAGCCTGCCATGATTATTTTGTTTTTAAACATCTTCCAAGCCAAATGCATTAGCTAATTAAACAGCAGGCACAGGACCCATTCTGGGAGGAAGAGATGGGTGAGCATAAAAGACAAGAGCACATGTTCAACATTTGAGAATCATTCTGGATGCTACTGCTGGTAGAATCATTTGAGATTATAGACCAAATGGATCTTGAGGAGACTAATGTATTATTGGCAAGGTAACTGTTGCATGTCTATCCCTACCGCGCCACATCTCCCATAATCTATATAATCCTGTTTACTTAGAGCCAAGCAATATTCTGACTGGCTAAAAGGGAACAATCTTTTCTTTCCCCTCTGCGTGCTTTTCATCCCCCTTACAATTCTCTATTTTTCTTATCAAAATAGCCACCATCCCTCCAAAAGTTTGTTTTATTTTCAGATTTAGTTTTGGAAGCCCAGCATGCAGTTGTCTGAATATCTAGGGGGGCAAATTGTTCCACAGAAGGGCTGGCATAGCTAAGGAGGCTCAACTATTGCATTCTCTTGGAGGAGGGACTCTTAAAAAAGCTTTGCCTGCCAGTTCTCACTGGATGAGCAGAGTCAACCTGGAAAAGCGGGGCTAAGAGATACTCATATCCTGAGCCATATACAGCTTTCACAGTGAGAGTCAGCACTTTGAATTGCAAATATAGCTCTCATTAACAGCGTAACGTGGGCAAATCTAGGTGCACTCATAGTTACACAGGTAACTATGTAACATGCTGTACCAGATGAAGCTTCAAATGGTCTTCAACAGCAACCCTATGTAGAGTAAGTAGCAGTCCAGATGAGACATTACAAGAGCATGAATGACTGGGCACAGTGGTTCTCAACTCAGTAATAGGTGAAACGGTCACACAAAATATTGTTCAAAGTCCTTTATTACTACAGGTAGTCCTCAATTTATGACCACAATAGGGATCGGAAAATTCATGGTTAAGTGATGTGGTCGTTAAGTGAGGCATCACATGACTGCACAGCTTAGCAATGGTAATCCCTGCAGTACCCATTGCCATTGGAAGTGAGAATCGTGGGTCATTAAGCAAGCACCTCCTCGCAACTTCCTGGCGGCTTCCAATAACCAAAGTCGGGGGAAGCCAGCAGGAAATTGCAAGCCTTAGGTGGCTCAACAGCAGGCAGGTTAAGTGTCTGCTGCTGGGTTTGAAAGAGAGCAAGGGGCTGCACAGGTGTATGGCCAGATGCGGGATTAACACGGCAGGGCTTGGAGTGGCTGCTGCTGGGCGGGGGAGAGCACGCAAAGGTGAACGAATGGCCAGGAAGGGCATGTGAGTGGCCATGGAGGTGCAGCGCAAGCACAGGGAGACTTGGGGTGTGCGGGTGGCCGGTGTGGCACCGTGTGAGCGCAGAGGGGTTGGGAGGGATGCAAGGATGGGGGAAGACTTATCTGAGCAACTTGCAACCTTTCCTGCTGGCTTCCCCATTGACTCTGCTTGTGGGAAGCCAGCAGGGAAGGTTGCAAATGGCAATCACATGACTGCGGTACACTGCAACACTGCAACCGTGTGAGCTGGTTGCCAAGCGTCCAGATCACAATCACATGACCGCTGGGGTGCAGGGACGGCTGGAACTTTGAGGATTAGTCGTAACCACCATTCATTCAGCCCTGTTGTAGCTTTGAACAATCGCTGAATGAGTGGTTGTTAACTGAGGACTACCTGTGTGGCTTCCACCTGCTGTTCAAGAAGCCAGTCTCATGCTGGCTTCAGTGGTGGAGACAGATGCCCATGAAATTGGCAGGCAAGATGCAGGCGCAGTGTAGGTGATGGTGCAAGGTTTGCAGAGGTGCTGGGGAGCAAACATGCTGAGGAGGGTGTTCAGTTCAAGATGCAATGGTGGGGAAGCAAGGAGTGATGCCTGGAGCATGCTGGTACAGGTGGCTGGAGTGCTACAGTTGAAGTGAGGCTTGTGAAGGGATCAAGAGAGCTTGGCTGGAGAAGCAATGGGAAAGAGGCATGAGGAGACTACAAGTGTAGGAGGATGGGAGTGATGACATATGGGAGAGATGACAGGAATAGAGCTGGGAAGTAGAATGAAGAGTGTGTGCACGACAGCTTGCTGGAGGCTGAAGAGGAGATGTAAGCCAGGTAAGTCCGTAAACAAAAACACCATGTCTTGGAAAGTGCAGAGGGAAAAGCCAGAGACGGTCAAGAACGTGCTGAGGTTGAAAAAGTAGCAGGAGTCAGGAGCAACAAAATGTGGATTACAAAACCAGATGCTCTTAAGAGTCCCCTGGACTGCTAGGAGGTCAAACCAGTCAATCTTAAAGGAAATCAA